GGGGGGGTCCCTCCAGGGAACGATTAGGGGGGTTCCGTGATTACGTAGGGGAGGTATACTGCATTCTGGGGGGCTCCGTGTATGATTTTGGTCAAAAATGTTGCATGTCACCAGAAAAAAAAAAAATCTGCGGCTATCGACGTATCTCGACGAGGCGGTCACGACCATCGTTGTTTCACGTTCCAATTTTTTTTCAAAAAAAGTTATCGCACAAAACGTGATTGGACAAATTGTTGTGCACGGACCATACAACTACTAACAAACGCCGCCCCCATGTCCATTCCTGCACATCATGTGCGCGGTCCAATACCCGAGCAAAGAGCAGATTCAAAATAGCGGCACTAGACACGCATCACGACGCGCCGAGCGAGCCATGTACGCTACATGCACGCTACTAAAGAGGGGAGCTCTAAACAAATGGCGTTCGCGGTTGTGTTGTGCTCTTCCTCAAATCTTGAGGGATCGCGCAAGAAACATGCGGATGGCCGCCGACGTATCAGCACCGAGGCGTCGTAGCTCGAAAGGGCAAGCCAACATGTAGACATGTATGTCAGGGGTGCGATATTACAGGCCACCCTTGCCGAAGCCGCCACCTCAACCGCAAGCAGACCGCGTCCAGCACAGCACGTGTGTGTGTGGTAGGCACCAAGCGGTGAGGGTGCAGCTTGTGGCTTGAACCTGCCCGTGGCTCTCATTGGTGTACGAGTAGAAACTACCCGTGCGGCGCAAGCAGCAGATAGATGTGTCTGGTTCAATGCCACCAATATTTGGCGCTGGATACGTTAGCGTGCCCGGGTACGCGAAATGTCGACAGCACTACTTTTGTTATGTTGTTATACAGACAGCGCCCGCGCTTGAGCACCTCCATCTAGTGTTGGGCGAGGAGTACTGGGTTCTCGTTTGCTCTTGTGGGCTACAATTGGTTGGTCGCTACATTGTACTTTAGGTTGTATATAGAGTAGTGTCTAGTACTAGTATAGTGGTAGTGTTCGGGTTTTCAACCGGGCTCACAGATCAAGACTTCTGTGTCATAATGCTGAGCATGAAGTTCCAACTTCGTAAGTGCGGGCTCTATCTGTGTTGTATTGTAGTGGCATTGTCGTATCATACCAATCTATGTATTGTAGGCCAGCACAACACATACCCGGTCACCCCGGTGGTCTAGTGGGTTCTCGCAGCCTGCTGAGGGCCAGGTCATGGGTTCGAGTCCCGGAAGAGTGAGTTTTTTTCTCACTAAATAAATCCTGGTCTAGGATTAAAGCGATGCGTTGCAAAGCTCGTTGTTAGTAAACCATAATCGACTTATTATTAGGGTTAGGGTTATTATTATTATTATTATTATTATTATTATTATTATTATTATTATTATTATTATTATTATTATTATTATTATTATTATTATTATTATTATTATTATTATTATTATTATTATTATTATTATTATTATTATTATTATTATTATTATTATTATTATTATTATTATTATTATTATTATTATTATTATTATTATTATTATTATTATTATTATTATTATTATTATTATTATTATTATTATTATTATTATTATTATTATTATTATTATTATTATTATTATTATTATTATTATTATTATTATTATTATTATTATTATTATTATTATTATTATTATTATTATTATTATTATTATTATTATTATTATTATTATTATTATTATTATTATTATTATTATTATTATTATTATTATTATTATTATTATTATTATTATTATTATTATTATTATTATTATTATTATTATTATTATTATTATTATTATTATTATTATTATTATTATTATTATTATTATTATTATTATTATTATTATTATTATTATTATTATTATTATTATTATTATTATTATTATTATTATTATTATTATTATTATTATTATTATTATTATTATTATTATTATTATTATTATTATTATTATTATTATTATTATTATTATTATTATTATTATTATTATTATTATTATTATTATTATTATTATTATTATTATTTTTGCCCCCCTCCTATGTGACCCCGGTTGGGTCGTCTAGCTAGTAGAAGTGGAGGATAGGGGCCAGAGGGGCAGACGAATTGGGAGAAAAAAACATAATTAGTGCAGCTGCAGCGAATGAGCTCTTTCGCTCTGCTGATGCAACCAAAGCGTGCATTGACTACAGCAGCAGTTTTGTCTGCACCCAGCACGAGACCATCGACATGCGAGAGAAGTTGGTCGCTTCTCGGCAATGCATCATCCGGGAGAGCTTTAGCATGTATCTACTTGCTGCCAAGCGCTTGCACCCGATTTAAACTTTGTCCCACAGACTGCCGTAGGATGCATAAGATACCACACCCCCTGCACCGATTTGAATAGCTCGAGTATTCCATGACCAAGAGGATGCCACACTCGATTATGCGTTTTCGATCAGCTCTCGACAGGCTTCCAAGTTCCTAACTCCGTGCCTATCGGCCCTGTGACCATGTACTACTGCGTTGCTGCTGTCGAGTATTCAACCTTCGAAATTCGGTCCAGGGGTGTGGTATCTTGTGCAACCTACAACGGTACTGGACCTACTACACACTACAAGCGTGCTGGTAATGAGTGGCAGTTTCGTCACCGGCGAGCTGGTTCGAAAGTCAGGGTGGGCGGTAGAGGTCCCGACTGCATGTTTGTCGACGCCCACGTGGCAATGCGCGAAGCATCAAGTTCTCCCCCTAAATTTTAGCTCTGTGCCACCGTCCAGTACAGCAGTGCATTTGGTACAGCAGTGCTGTTCGACTGCAAATAACATCATTTCAAAGTCCTTGCTATCATGGATGCATTGGCTGTTGAAGGCTTATGTATAGGTATGTAGATATCGTACGTGGACGCTGCAAGATGGTGCAGCACCTGCAGTCTAATGCTGTCTACCGCTGTACGACTCCCCCTCTGTAACCATGCACCACATACACATGCATACCTGCCACGTTGGTGCTCGAGGGAACATGACGCCGACACACACAGACACTGCCGCCGCCACGAAAACCGGCACCCAGAACACCATACCGTCCACCTCACCCAAGCAAGCCCTACTTGGTTGATGCTTGCCCAGCGCCCAGGCAATGCAGGGCAAGAGCTAGAAGCCAAAAACTACATCATGGTTCCACCGCATTGGCCGCGCCCGGGGGGATACGCAATACGCAAGAGAGATTGGCCCTTTTTCTTTTTTCCGTGTGCGATTGCTTTATTGTCTTGTTCGTCCCTGTTACAGCAGTTGTAAGTACCGTGCTGGCCGGGCCCCGAGCTGCATACGCATGAAGGTAGCCGCGCATCTTTGTGGCCGAACGGCACTATGTAATTTACATGACAGTGATTGTTGGCGTGTTTTTCTACACTGCAGCACAGTGTATCCGTAGTTCTGGAGAGATCCTTACTTGCTCAAATTGTTCTATTAATAACTATATAGTCTAATACGCATGCATACGTTGTTGTTGTTGTTGTTGTTGTTGTTGTTGTTTCTCACATTAGCTCTATAGTCTACAAAAAATGGGGAGCCCGTGGTCTCAAAACCCGGCACATACGACGCCGCGGGGAAAAAAAACAAACAAACCGTGTGTGTCGTTGTTGTTGTTGTTGTTGTTTTTCACATTAATTCTATATGTAGTCCACAGAAAATAGGGAGTCCGTGGTCTCAAAACCCGGCACATACGACACCGCGGGGAAACAAAACCAAAATAAGGTACAAACCACTCGGAAAAAGAAAAAAAGAAAATCATGGAAAGAAGAGAACATCATATGCATATACATCCGCACATATGCATACCAAACTGAAAATACAGGTAGTTTTTTCTGACGCTATGATTCCATTGTTAACTGTCTCTGACTCTACCAATGATAGAGATGGACTCGATGTGTTAAAAAAATATAACAGGTATCGCACCAACAGTTCGAGAAAAGAGTGTGGAGTGTGCTCTCTGGGCTAGGCCCCTTCTACCCTGCTCTGAGCTGAAAGCTAGAAGCAGGCCTCGGCCAGGGATTGATAGATTGAATCCTCATCAACAGCCAAGGGTTGTATGCCATGTGGCCTGCAAATCTTCGCGTATAAATGACGCACACCACCCATCACGACATCCGATCCTCAAGCACGCACACACGGCTACGTTGCAGTTGCACCCTCCGGAGGAAGCGCGAACCGGTACCGCAAATATTTTTTTTATTACGCACATGGTCCGTAACAACTTCCAGCGGATCCTTCAACCCGCACACGCACTCGCCCCCCCCCTCCGCCACACAAACCGCCCGTACCCTCCCGACTGGCCAACTCCGCCCTCTGCTTCTACCCGCTCTCCCTTCTACATTCACCATGCCGGTTTCCTCGAGCGCCACCCAGCAGCCGCAGCAGGGCAACATCTTCACGCACATCAGCAAGATCTTCAGCAGCTTTACCCACCGCCCCTCCCTGTGGACGAACGTCGCTGCCAAAGAGAGGTGACTCATCAGCAAGTCGGTAGCCATTCCACCCCCCCCCCCCAC